TCTGTAATGCTGCATTTGTTGGTAGATATTGTTTAAATTTGTTTATGATGTTGAATATCTAGTTTTCCCATCTATGATGACTGAGTGTTTTTCTGGTTATAGTAGTCTGAGCTGACATTTGTGTTCTCTTAGAGTCTGCATGATATCTGTCCAGGCTCTTCTGGTTTGCATAGTCTCTCTTGAGAAGTCAGGTGTGGTTCTGTTGGGTTTGCCATTGTATCTTACTTGGCATTTTTCCCTTGCAGGTTTTAGTATTTTTTCTCTGTTCTGTATACTTACTGTTTTGATTATTATGTGGTGAGAAGATTTTCTTTTCTGGTCTAATCTATTAGGCATTCTGTAAGCCTCTTTTAATTGGGGAAATTTTCTTCTATGATTTTATTGAAAATATTTTCTGTGCTTTGGAGATGGGATTCTTTTTCCTCTATTCCTATTATTCTTAGGTTTTGTCTTCTAATGTTGTCTTGGATATCTTGGATGGTTTGTATCAGAAATTTTTTTTTTTTATATTTAACCTTTTCTTTGATGGATACATAGATGTCTTCTATTGTATCTTTCATACCTGAGCTTCTTCTATGTCTTGTAGCTTATTGGTATGCTTATCTCTGTAGTTCCTGTTTTCTTACCTAAGTTCTTTGTCTCCATGATTTCTTTCATTTGTGTTTTCTTTAATTTTTCCAATTCTATCTTTAGAACTTGTACTGTTTTGCTGATTTCCTTCACCTGTATGACTGTATTTTCCTTTGATTCCTTCACCTGCTTATTTGAACATTCCTGTTTCTTTTATTTCTTTCAGTGATTTAATTATTTTCTTTCCGAAGGTCACAAACTATTTGCCTGCATTTTCTTTTATTTCTTCACAGATGGCCATAATCTGTTTGACTTTATCTTCCTGTATTTCTTTACACATTTTGTTTCCTCAATTATCCTCTTCATAAACATAACTCTAAGGTCATCTTTTTTAATTTCACTTATGTTAGGGTGTCCAGAGCTACTTGCCCTTGGACAACTGGGTTCTGGAGATGCCATATTTCTTTGGTTGGTTGTGCTGTGACCTCTACTCATCTGTCTGTCTCTGTTGTTGGCTGTTAGTTTTTGGTGCTTACTGGAATCCTGTGGTGGGGAGAATCTTTTTGGCAGGAGGATGGCTGCTCCTGAAGGAGGCCTCCTCATCGTTTTGGGTATAGTTGCCAAATGGCAGGTGCTTCTCAGGAAATTGCCACAGCTTACTTCAGGTGTATGAACCTGTGGGGTTATTGTGGTCATGGGGGGGGGGGCTCTCCTCTCACCAGGAGAAGTCCTAGAGACAACTGCCCTGCCACTCGGTTTCATGCTCTGAATTTAGTGAGCTGTTGTTGTTGTTCTTACATTGTGTTTGCTGACCCCAGACCTCTTGAAGAACCAGTTACCCCTTCAGTTTGGTCAGTTTAGGTAGGGAAACAGGTTGCACCTTGGAGCAGTGTCTGGGGCTGATCCCATGGATCCCAGGCTTCTGTAGGTCTGAGGTTGGAGCTCTCTGCCCCGGTACCCAAGTGGTAATCAGTGGCAGGTGAGTGTAGCACTCAGGCCTGTGGCAGGAGGCCAGAGCCTGGAGCCTGTGGGAATCCAGAAACTTTTCCTGGAATTAGCTGGGTGTCCTGAGGTTGGACCTGATGTTTCTGCCACTGTAGTGTTTCCTCCCAACAGGGAGACCCAGTCTGTGGTGTTTTGGGGTCCACAGTTCAGTCTGAGATGGTGAGTAGAGCATGCAGGCACAGGGAAGTGGTTCTGTGCTGGCAGGAACCCAGGAAGTTTTCCCCAGGAAGTTTTCATTGTGGGGGTGGGGTGTTCGGCTAGCTACCCTGGGTCAGATGATGTTACCTTCAACATAGGGTTTCCTCAGTCTCTGGTGTTTTGGAGCACACAGTTTTGTCTGGGACAGTGTGTCAAGCAGGCAGGCATGTGGCTCTGCGCTTGGGGCTGAGAGCCTGCAGGAGCCCAGGACCAGGAGCTCTGGACCTTTTCCAGGTGTCTAGGTGACTTGAGGTCAGTTGGTCCAGATTTCTTCCTTCACCGTGGGGTTTACACTCGACTGGAAAACCTGGTGTCTGGTGTTGTGAAGCCCACAGTTCAGTCTGGGATGTGATCAGAGCATGCAGGCCTGTGGCTCTGGGCTGACAACTGAGAACCTACAGGGACCTGGGCACTCTTCCGGGTTTAGCTGGGTGATCTTAAAATGGACAAGATTGCTTCCCACACCATGGGGATTCCTCTCACCTGGGAAACAAAATCTTTGGTGTTTTAGAGCCCACAGTTCAGTCTGTCGGTCACTGTGCAGTCACTGCTGTTCTGCTTGTCAGACAGTGTCCTCTTGGCCCTGCCATCTTGGATTCTCAAACTGGTGGTTCTTCATTAATCATCTTTTAAGTGATGAAAAGTTCACAGAAAATACCCCCACTATTTGTTCCTCTCTGAGACAGTGCCAAGTAGTAGGAGAACATTCATTCAAATATCATTGTTTCTCTGGAAATATGATGAATACTGGCCTTGTATTTCATTAAAGCCCTCTCTCTTATTATTTCTTTTTGGTTTTTGGGGGGAGGGAAAGTTAATTCTGGGGTTGATTTGAACAGCTCCCTGTCCTCTGCTGATCTTGCTAAAATGACATTTGCTTTACTTAATCTCCAAATACCGGTTGAACAAAAATAGACAAAGGAGCCTCATAGTCAAAATGGTAAAATAAGGCATATTTCGAGATAGTTCAAACACCTCAGAAGAGAAAGACACCTGAAGTCAAAAAGCTTTCCCACTGATGCTTACAGGCTCCTCTGTTCAACTTATTACCTCGTCTATCATTCAGTTTTTAATTGTTCTAACAGATCTCATTTTACAACTTTTAATTTTCTAAGTATTGCTTTTAAAGCAAATCACATGACTAAATCACAACCAAGCACACTTGTTTCAGTCTTTTATCTGCATTTGCCTTTTAGACATTTCCCTATGGTTAAGCCCTTGTTGATTGTTAGTCAAATTCAGAAATGCATTTATTTTAAATGTGACCTATGAAGGTTACTCAAAAGTAAGTGCATTTTAAAATAGCATCTTGAATAACTCACATAAAGCCTCTAATCTTTTGCAAATTTGATATGAATCATAGGAAAGAAGTTCACCTTTAATTCTTTCAACTTTTTTTTTTCAACATTTTAGCTTTTCCTTTCTCTCCCTCTGGAATAGCAATTCAGCTGATGTTATTGCCTACTGTCTTTTACAAATGAGGTTCTTTAAGCAACTTCAAGTTTAAAAATATCCTCTTAAGCTGATCATACCTCCCTCTAATAATTCCAAACTTGGATAAAAGATAATTAAAAAAATATTTACCAGATATATTTTGTTCAGGTTTATCTCATAAATCCCTGCCTGGTTATTACTTAATATAAAACAATTGTTAAAAATCCGTTGTTCTGTTTTTACTTACAAAGTGAGAAAAATGAATACTTTGTAGGTTTGTGAGGAAAATAAAAGGCAAATAGAAAGTACGTCTACCACCTACCATAACTTCTATTTTTTTTTCCTTTATTCTGAAAGTTGTTTCTCTAACTGTTTAGATTTTTGGTTCTTACCACTTTAAGTTTATGTCTATTCCAAAAAGCAGATACAACCCTACCTAAAGTTTTAAAAAGATCTCTGCAGGGGCTATATCTTCAAAGAGAAAATAAATTGTTCATAACATCCATCAATTAGTTTTGGTTTGTTGGGGTCCAAAAGACCAAAACAACCCAAGCAGTCACAGAGTTCAATAAAGCAAGATCTTTATTTGAATTAGGCAGTAAAAACTGATCAGTTAGGGACACAACAACAGACTCAAGAGCTGACTGCATCCTTGAACGTTCATCTTAAGTATTTAAGCAGATGACAAAATTTTATTGTACTCAGGCTGCTACTGATCAATCAGGGCCACAGAACAGACTCCAGAGCTGAACTGAAACTTCGAAGGGAAATTGTACAGCACTTTTAAAGAATGGAACTACAAAGTAAGGGGAACAAGGCACATTGTGCTTGTTACTGGAAAAAAAATCTGTTTCTAGTTGTGGTGTGGCTCATCCTTAGCACACACCTTTAATCCAAGTGCTTTCTGCTTGAATACTGTAAACAGAATTAAATAAAGTAAACCATAGGTCAAGAGGTGGAGCAAGCAACCAGTTGACAGGAAGTGAATATAGAAAAAAAAATAAACTGGAGAGAGTAAGAGGGAGTCTGAAGCATGCATAAAGAGACACACAGAAATTAGAAGGGAGGGACATTCAGTTTGAGTTTTTTATGAGATGGTGAGGGGAAGGAGCATTCCTTCTTTTGGGATATCGGCTGAGGAGGAAGGTCAGCTGGGTGCTTTCTCTGACTCTCTAAGTGAGGAGGCTTTCACTCCAGCATCTGGCTCCTGAGTCTTTCTTGGTGAAATCAAATAATTGAGATTTTGTTACAAACAACAGAGGAGGACACTCACTGTTAAAACCTGGCTCCAACATGTGCATGTACACATGTTGGACACACATATACATATATTAATATATATATATATATACAACTTACATGCACTCACGCACAAATATGTGGAATTTAACTATGTACCCAATGGGGAAAAAAGATACACTAAAACCAGAGCAACTCAAAGTAAAAGAAACACAAAATACCTACTTGAATGGCAGGTAACACTGTGCTTTCTATAAAACTGTGAAATGTCTTTAAGCTAAGGAATTTTAATGATAAAAGAAATGCATCCAATGAGTACCCAACTAAATGGGATAATTCAGGAATTACTATTTTCATTTCTCTGTTTTTTTTTAATGGTTTGCCTTTTAAAGGTGATTTTTATGACACCCTCCTACTACCTCGACTTCTCTAGGAAATGAAAAGGATAAGACTCTGGAAATTCATAGATGTTTACATTTGGAGGCCAATTCTTTGCTTACATCATTTGCTGTGTACTTATGGATGATGGCTTTGATTAACATGATATGCCTTACCAGCCCTTCACTTGGTTTGATATTTGCCAGCTGAATCACTTCCAGGTGAGCAGACTGTGAAACCAGAGGATCTGACGACAGGGATATGATGTGGTCACAGACTCCAGAAAGAGTTTTACACTGGAAATGAAAGAGGAAAGTTATGGTAAACATGTTTTGTAAATAAGATACAAATCAAGGTTTTATTTTATTTTTAATTATGTATATATATGTGCTGACACCCTGATAGGAATCAGATATATCTAGGTAGTTGTGAGCTACTCAATGTGGGTGATAAACTCACTCTGAATCTCTGAGCCATCTTTCCAGTCCCTTTAAATGCATTTTTCTTGACTTACTGGAACACGTTTACCTCTGCATAAAATTTCCTACTTCTATAACACGTAGCTTGCAACATCTAATCTACTTCTTCACTCTTCTTTGACCACTCAGAAAGTTATCTTATTCTAAACCCCTCTGAGGCAGGGACCATTTATATCCCAGTCATCTCTAAGTTTTCTCCTTACCACTCACATCTTAATACTGTAAATACACGATATGAATGAGCAGAAGATCAATCAGGTTTATTTAATTAAATTTTTTAATATTAGTTACACTTTATTAACTTTGTATCCCAGCCGTAGCCCCATCCCTCTTTCCCTCCCAGTCCTACCCTCCCTCCCTCATCTCCTTCCTGCCCCTTTCCAAGTCCACTGATAGAGGAAGACCTCCCTTTCATCTGACCCTAGCTTATCAGGTATCTTCAGGACTGGCTGAAAACTCCTCCTCTGTGGCCTAGCAAGGCTGCTCCTCCTTTGGGGTGGGGTTCAGGGGGAGGTCAAAGAGCCAGCCATTGAGTTCATGTCAGAAATAGTCCCTGTTCCCCTTTTCCCTTACTAGGGAACCCACTTGGATACTGAGCTATCTTTTTTTTTTTTTTTTTTTTGTGGAGAGGAAGGCATAATAATCTAGCTCCATAGTGTTTCACTTGTCCTGTGGTGATTGCATTAGTCTACCTTGAAGGTGATGATTCTCTTTATCTCCCTGGACTCAGCTTCCCTCCACTATATAATGCGACTCATAGTTTTTGCATATGTTTCTCAACACTGCACTTTAATTGTAGTTATTAGCTCCTAAAGATAGATGTCACATAACACAAATACCCAGAGGAAAAAAAATATGGGCCTGATATGAGGATAAATGTTTATAATTACCATAATGAAAACAACTTTGTCTGTAAACAAGTTATAGCTTTGAGGCTGTTTTCTTCAAATAGAAAATTATATGATGCAATGAAAATTGCCTTATAAGATTTACAATCCAAGATATGATAATATATATTTCAACAGCCAAATATAGCTCTTATCCAAAGATAATAAACAAATGCTTACCTGTATTACCTATTGTTTTCCTTACTATAAAGATTTTAGTTCTTACACATGAGGTGACTTAACACACTATTCTTAATTCCATGATCATCTTATAATCACACTGGCCAGTCTAGCTGCACAATGACCATTATAAATTCACTCCTCTCTCTGATATTAAGGTCCCAGTACTTTGGATAAAATGAATGTGTTCACCTTGATAAAGCTCTTCTTGTAAGTGATAGTAAGTGTTAATTATAAACTTGAAACTCTAGAATCACCTAGGATATAGGCCCAGTGCATATTTGTAGGGATTGTTTTGATTACATTAATTGAAGTGAGATGACCTGCCCATTGTGGCAGCATTTATGCACAGCTATGTGATCCTGGACGGCATGAGAATAAAGAAAGGCAGCTGAGTGCTAACAGTGATGCATCCACTGCTATTTGTGATGATAGATGTGGTTTTACCAACTCCATCAAGCTCTAGGTGCTGTGACTTTCTCCACAGTGATGGACTTTAACTTGGAACTGTGAGATAAAATGAATCATTTCTTCTTTGTCAGCCTCCCCACTGCTTGTAATACAGTTGTGAACATCACACAAGGTTTACATTACTATTTTAAAATTCAATCATATTTATGCTAGCTAAGACTGTATTTTAGAAAAATAATAGAGTAGGAAAATAGACTGCAATTATTATTTAATATTATTGCTAGCAGAAATTGCTTGTAGAATGCTTACAAATGATTGGCACAAGGAAAAATACTTCATATTCATTCTGATTTATCATTCTAACTTCCTAAAGTATGTATTAGTATAGCCAGCTGAATAAATGTGAGAATCAGGATAAAAAAAAAGCAATGGTTGTTGATTTGGCAGAATGATCTGAATTCTTCTTTTTCTTCTCCTCCTCCTTTGAGACAAGGTTTCTGTGCAGTTTTCCTAGACTCCCTTTACAGACCAGGCTGGCCTAGAACTCACAGAGATCTGCCTGCTTCTGCCTCCCTGAGTGCTGGGATTACAGGAGTGTGCCACCACAGCTGTCTATGATCTGAATTCTTAATTATTCTGTTTACTTTGATTATTAGTTATTAAGTATTTCTAATAAACTTCATTTGTACCTTTTTGTTTGCATTAGACAAATGTTAGATAATACAACTAAAACATAATATAATAAAATTAAATCATATTTACAAGTGTTTTACAACTTAAAATATTCCTTGTAATATGTCTTTCTACAAAAGCTTACAGTAATTTTAGTAACAAAAGGACAATTCTACTGTATCTATAAGATGACTGGCATCACTTTATAAAAGGCATTTTTTTCAATATTCATTTCAAAGGATTTCACATCTTTAGTTCAAAAACAAAAAAATAAAAACTCGTAAAAACACGTTCAAATGAAATGAAAGACTGATGCGCTGTATTGGTCTGGTGGTTAGGATTCAATATTCTCTCAAATAAACCTAAAGAAAATATACAATTATAATAAATATTATGACCAGCTTTTTGGGTTGTATTAAGCTATCCAAGATTCTGACAAAGAATGCCTGAATAACAATGGAAAAAGCTAGTTACAATGAATAACAATTTAAATATATGCAGTTTCAGGTTATTTTCAATGGGGTGGTTAGTTTATATTAGTATCAATTATGAATTAATAAAATTAATAGTTTATAATTTTAGAATATAGAGGAGCCTTTCCAAGATATATTCCTGTGAATCACAAGAACATATTATTATTTATTTATTACAATTATTCACAGTGTAGCCCCCTCCCTCATCTCCTTCTATTTCCATCTTTCCTCCCTCCTCCTCTCCTCTCCCTCTTCCCTAGTCCACAGATAGAAGTCCTCCACCCCTACTGTCTGACCCTAGCCTATCAGGTCCCATCAGGATTGCCTGGATCCAATTCCTCTGTGGGTTTCTAGTTTGCCACACCAGGGAGAAGTTATCAAGGAACAGGCAATGGAGTTCATGTCAGAGATTGTCTCTTCTCCCCTTACTAGGGAACCCACATAGAGACTGAGCTGTCTATGAGCTACATCTGAGCAGGGGGTCTAGGTCCTCTTTATGCATGGTCTTTGGTTAATGCATTAGTCTGTGTGGGTCCCCCTTGGCGTCTGAATTTTTTTGCTTTGTTGGTCTTCTTGGGTGATTCCTATCCCCTCTGGGTCCTTTAATATCCCCCTTCTTCCAAAAGACTCCCTGAGCTCTGTCCAAAGTTGGCAGTGTTTCTCTGCATCTGCTTAGATCCACTGCTAGGTGGAGTCTTTTAGAAGACATTTGTGGTAGCCTCCTATCCAGTTCCCTCTCTTCTACCACTTCAGGTGTCTATCTTCTTTTCCCTTCTGAATGAGAATGAAGCATCTTCCCTGGGGTCCTTGTTGTTTAGCTTCTTTAGGTTTGTATTGTCTATTTTAATATAAAAATTGTAAGGGGAAAAGAAGATCTGGGCAAAATATGTTTATTAATATGATTTTAAATGCAACATGTTAGTCACATTAGAGAAGTCACAAATAGATATGATTAACCAATAATAAGATACAACATTCTTTCATTATCTCTGAACTTATCTGATAGTATTAGATAAATAAAGTTTTACCTATTATATTTTAAATGGAAATTTATCAAGTGATCTAAATGCAAACAACAGTGAAAAGCTAAGAGATAGAAAAGTCAGAAAGACAAACACGGTATATACTCACTTATATAGACCTATAAGATATAATAAACATAATGAAATCTATACACCTAAAAAAGATAATCAAGAGAGCGGACATGGGGTAAGATTATCAATCCTCGTTTTGAAAGACAGATGGGATACGCATTGAACATTGACAGGAGTTTACTGAGCACATTGGAAAGACTCTAACTAGCAGTGTTTTCAAAGCAAAGACTCATGACCAAACCTTTGGCAGAGTACAGGGAATCATAAGAAAGAAGAGGAGTTAGTCTGATGAGGAAAGGATAGGTGCTCCACAAGGACCAAATATATCTGGGCACAGGGTCTTTTCTGAGACTGACATGCAACCAAGGACCATGTATGAATGTAACCTAGAACCTCTGCTCAGATGTAGCCTGTGGTAGCTCAGTAACCAATTGGTTTCTCATAGTGAGGGGAACAAGGACTATTTCTAACAGGAACTCAATGGCTGGCTCTTTGGCCTCCCCACCCCCCAAGGGAGGAGCAGTCCTGTTAGGCCACAGAGGAGAGCTTTGCAGCCAGTCCTGAAGATACCTGATAAAACAGGATCAGATGAATGGGGAGGAGGTCCCCCCTATCAGTGGACTTGGCAAGGGGCATGGTGGAGATGAGGGAGGGAGGGAGGGACTGGGAGGGAATGAGGGATCGGGACACAGCTGGGGTACAGAGTTAATAAAATGTAACTGATAAGAAAAAAATAAAATACAAAAAAAAATGCAAAAAAAAAAGAGATAGAAAAGTCTTACATTAACTGTAGAGGATACCCAGGCATATAATTAAGTTACTTAATATATTTTCGTTTTTACAAATAAATGTAGTACTGTTCATTTATTCCTTAGAATGTATTAGAGCAAGTAAATCGGAACATCTTTACATTTACTAAAGTAGAATTGTAATTCATATGACCAAGTTTAAAAAACAAAAGAAAACAACAAAACTCCAGGCTCAGTAGGTTAAACAAAAGGCTTTACCAAAAGCAACTTAAACTTTTCATTTGTATACATGAATACACAGTACAAAGGGTATAAAATACAAAAACAAGATAAATTAAGAAATCAAAGAGT